TATGTACGTTAAACCAGAGATCTTTCCCGGATAGGACGCTCATAAAAAAAGTTTTTCAGCAGATGATCTTAATTCATTTGGAAAATCCACTTTACACTCTATCTGCTGAGGACAACAAACAAGCATTATATACTCGCCTCTTGATGCCTTACATGCAATGATCATTTTTTACCTTGACACGTTTGTACACTGAAAACAAAGACGATGAAAAACCGATTGCAATTCTTTATTGCCAGGAGACTTCATGCGCATGCTTCGAGAAAATTTCCAGTGAAAAATATGAAAAGACCTCTTTACAGGATTAGGGGCTTAACTACTGAATACTAACAACAGTTAATGAAGTAACTGATGTGTAAACGTGCTGTAAAACAAAACACAACAACCATAAAACAAGATATTTATCGCTCAATTTTGCAATAATAATAACCCAATGCCAGTTCAAGATCTACCCCTATATATATGTTACATTCATACTTTGAAAATAAACAGTTCTAACATTTCTATGCACTGTTCTATAATAATCTATAAGTTCACATTTTATACAAAACTATATTTGTTATATAAAAATAATGTTCAATGATGAAAGACACTCATGGAAATATATTAATTTTAAAACATTTCTATTAAATTATTAAAATGAGGATTGCCCCGTTATTTTTAAAAATATCAATGCTAACTTAATCACAAAGTACAATTATGTGTGTCGTTTGAATGCCATAAATTAATTTTCTGAATAAAGTAAATAAAATACATGCATATATTTAAAACCTAAATGCGAATTTAAATCGACCACCATACATTTTATGAAATTATATTAGTATCAATTATCAGTAATGCCTAATCTATAAGAAGTGCCTACTATTTTTTGCCAAAAACCCATTTTTATTACTTCTTTTTCATTTCATGCAATTCCTCACTAAATACGAAATCTGATTTCAAATATAGCTAATATAACAGTTAGGATCAATTTTGGGAGTTTATAAATCGTGTATAATCTTGCTACTTCATTCAAATTCGTTTTCATTTACACAATAAAGATATTTTCACAGTGTAATACATTCTCGTCGCTTTTAAGATACCAGTACCATGCTGTACTG